TGTAAAAAAGTTTTATTATTTTTTTTTCCCTAATGTGCAGGACACTGGGCTGGGATACAGTACCCATTCACATCTTCCCTGTCTCTGGAATGCCATTAACCATGTTTTTCCTCTTTGTAAAGCACCTAAGGTTTAGCACCGATAAGTATTATTTGTTACTGTGGAGTCACTTTGAAGTGAGACTTGGTTACTTGGCTGTCTTCACACTGCTGCTCTCCGTTCTTGGTAGTGGGGCGGATGGTTCTGCACTCCTAGCCCTGAAGCGGTAATGGCAGGGGGGCTCTTGGTAGTGGGGTGGATGGTTCTGCACTCCTAGCCCTGAAGCAGTAACGGCAGCAGCTTTCCAGCCTGCACTGGAGGAGATGTCATGGGGCTGCATGACAGCCTGAGGCCCTCTGCTGCAGTTAACAGCTGGAAAGGCTCCCACAAGCTCTTCTGCATAGCACAGGGGACCGAGAGACTGCGTGGAGTCCTGAGAGCAGCTAGCTGGTAGGGTGCATCGCTTTTGCTTGCTGGAGTAGTGAGTGCAGAACCACATTAAACAGAGTATTTAGGCATCTTGCTTTCGAGCGAAGTCTGTAGGAGTTAGGACTAAATCCTTTTACTGAACCCAGCCTTCAAGGCCTACTGAAGCCAAGTGCTTGATGCATGTATTTAACAGAATTCCATCCCTTTCAGGCATAGCGTGAAGTCAGCACATTTAAACACATGCTTAAAGTTAAATCCATTTACTGCTGTGGTAACAAGCATGTATGCTACCCACCTCCCTCTCCCTATAAATCAATGGTGCATTAATTCATCAGCCACAGTATATGAGTGTGTTTATTAGATGCACCTAGTACTTCATTCATCATTCCTGAGTGTCAGTAGTGAAAGCTTTTGAGGGTCTATGCGCTTTGGGGTTGTTATTCCAGGTTACCTTTCTGGAATAGCTAATGTACGCTGCAAATGCCAGTGCAGTAAAGTGAGAATCTAGGAAACAAAATCTTAAATAAAAAAGCAGATTGGAAAAAGCAAACCAAACTAAAATCAAACACAACAAAAAACGCCCATCTGATGCACTGTAGCATTATTTTGAAAACCCTCAGCAATAAGCCGTAGTTCCATTGAAATGCCAGTGAACTGATTTGTGTTTGTTTATGAACTGGTTTATGTTTGTTTCTGTTAGAAGCATCGAGGATGTCTAGGATGAAATATGGGCTTAATATCACAGATTCTGTCTTGGCTTTGTTTCTCTGTCTGATTGCGTATGTGCTTCCTGGGGCAAAATTTTAAGAACTTGGTCTTAGGCAGCAATCTCAGTAGGCAATAGCAAAAGAATTCTGGAGGATGAGTCATTTCCTCTGCGGCAGGACTATCACTGGAATGGCCATCCCTCTTCCCTGACTATTAAAGGAATGTGCATGCACCTAGTTTATCCTAACCCTTTTGTTAGATAGGATCTTCCCAGGGATCACATGCATGCCTTAAAGGAGCGTGTTCCTTTGTAGGATGGCGTATATCTGAATGCTTGTGGGCAGATTTAATGAAATAGCCCATGCTGTTTACTGGCCCAGACTTGCCATCCCTCCCCTCTTCTCTCTAGGAATACCTACAGTCTAAGAGGTGGGCCAGTTTTCTATCTTGGGAGAAAAAGGATTCCCCCAGTCAATCTGGCTTCTCATTGACCCTAACAGTTCCACAATAACTGCTGAGAGACAGCATATATATACATACATACATACACGTATGTATATATACACACACGCACCCCTGTGTACGAGGAAATGCCTCTAATGTGTCCTGCTTCAGATTTCTTGCTATCTTTATATTTTACAGTATCTTCCAGAGGTTGTTTTCTGTTGTACTTCAACTGCCAGCAATACTTGGAGTATTTTCTTGGCCTTGTTGGACTCAGGCAGCTGTGCCTTGAAGCCTGCTTTTCCCTGCCATGCTTTCTCTACTAGCTTATTTGTTTCAGAGTCTACATGGTTGAGTTTTAGTTTGTCAAATGTGTAGCACCTTGAAATGTCATTTAAAGAGCACACTCTTTTTCATATTACTGTTTCTTGACACAATAGCAAGGCATTTCAAAACAATGACTCCAGACATTGTCTAGATCTTCAACAGTTGTCAAGAAGCAAGTTGCCAATATTTTACACTTAGCTTTTGGCAGAAGCGCTGATGAGTACCTTAGCTGTCTGGTTTTTCTCAGCCTTTCAGGTGTAATGGAGTTTCGTGCTGTTAACCTCACTATGAGTGCAAGCACCACAGTTTTATCTCGGTGCAAGCAGTCAAGGTGAATCCCTATGGGAAAGTAGCACTGATTTCAGATAACCGTGTGTGTTTAGGGGCTAGCCATGCTTTGTCTCAGTAGGTACTTTTTAAGGAAAATTCACTAGCTTAGTGTTAAAATTCTCTTTCTTGTCTTTAAAATGAAAGTTGTTTTCTTGGTCTGAATTGTCAGCCTTTATTCAGTAAGTGTTAAACATAGCTTATTGAATTATTGCATGGTTCAGTGTTTCCATGAGCATTTGTAGTGTTCTTCCAAATTTTGATTAAAAAAAAAAAATAATGGAATGAAAACAGGCATTTCAAATGCTTCAGCCCTTTTTAACCAGCTATAAGACACAGAGAAAGATTTCAAACTGTCAGTGGAACTTTTGCAAGCTATTTTAGCAGGCATATTTTCCTTCTTGTTTATTATTCAGCTTGGATAAGTGGCACCTTCTATCTAAGCATAGTTCTAGTTGTATAAAACCATAGATATTAGACAGAATGATAGCTAAATTCTAGCAGAAACCGACAAAACAAAGATAAAACAAACCAAAAGCAGAGTTCAGGCTACTTTGGATTATTATAGTAGGATTTATTGTGTCTATGTGCTTTGTCCTGGTCTGACTTGCTAGGGTTTCCTCAAAGCCTCTTTTACAGCAGTGACAGCACAGTCAGACTAGATGAAGGGAGGATTTTCAGTTGCTGATTAAGGGTCTCAGTTTGACAGTTGTAGCTATGGCTGAGCCCAGAAAATTCTGTTCATATCTGTCTGGAATATTTTGATGTTTGTGCAAGTATAAGAAAAGGCATTGATCCAACCAGCATTTATTTTCTTTTTTGGGGGTGGAGGTGTCCTGGTTTTGATACCTGAAGAGGGCTTATTCCTACAGACTTTCCAGGCAACGTTGGCTTTAGCAAGAGGCATTACCTGAGTGAGAAATGTAAGATTTGACAAATCAAACCCTTCTATATTCTCTGGACTGTTTTGCTGCTGTGATACAGAGGATACCAGCTGGCTGCATCGGCTGCCTTGCAGAGAAACAGATGTGTTATGGTAATGGAAATTGGTCTTTACAGATTGTATTGGGGAGCGTAAAAATAAATTCTGTTTTTTTAAAAAACAAACAAACAACAACAACAACAACCAAACAAAAACCAAACCAAACCAAAAAAAATCCCCACAAACAAACCCAGAACAAACAGTTAAAAGGCCACTTTAATTCGTTTTGTGTTTTTGAAAATTTCTCTTAGATTATTCTTAATGACAAAATATTTGTTTCAATATAGGGGCCAAAGGGGCACACAACAATTAGACATAAAAAGCCTTATTTCTTCTACAATTTCATGGCAGCAAAGAGTCAGGATCACGTTTTCTAAAGCATTGAATATCAGCAGGTTCCATTTTGCAGATGATGGATGTGACTTTATGCTGTCTGTCTAGAGGAACAGCACCAAACGTACAGCTCTGTATTCTCAAATGAGTTTCTATTTTGTTGGAGTCCAAATTCCCTTTCCAGACATCTTTTGCGTTAATTCGTCTCCTGTGTAGACTACTTCTGTTTTGTTTCCAAGGGTGAAAGATCAGGTTATCTTGATCCAAGTTCTCCAGAAATTCCTTCACCAGAAGAGTGTTTGGAAAATGCCCTCAACCTGATTGTTTTTTCTATTACTCATCCCATTATGGTATGATGGGAGATCTTCTGGCTATTGAATTGCAGTGACTTAAGCAGGCACCTAATTTTCCCATCCTACAGGTCAGTCTGCTCTTGAATGTGTCCTTAATCTGGCATTGTGATCTTGACACTTGGGTGGGGTTTTTGAAATGTCTGGCTCTTATATGAAGAACATCTTGAAGAGGCTTAAGTCAGGACTGCCTGCTTGCTTATCTCGGAATAGGATGATGTCGGGGAGGAGTGGTATAGGGTAGCTGGCATGCCTCAGGAAGCCCGGAACATTTGGTTTGGGTTAAATCTAGGCAACAAGAAATAATGCACGTTTGGTTTTGATTGCTATATTGAGCTGGCTTGTTCAGCAGTTTGCATTGTTAATTGATATCAGAGAATTGCAAATGCCTTTTTAAATGAGGGAAGTATTCCAGTTAGAGAGGAAAGGATCTTCTAGAATTAATGGCTTCTGATGTGGAAAAACCCTGCATATTGTTGCAATGGTGTGTATGTTCAAAACTTGAAAAGCTCACGGCAGAACTACCCTGACTTAGCACTGCTAAAAAGAGCAGGATGACCTGAGTCGTGGACCCATGGAGATGTTGCTTCAAGTTTTCTGTGTGGAGTAAACTTTAATTCTGACATCACTTTCAAGTTTATACTGCAAGAGGGGAAAGGAGTTGCAAAGAACGGAGAATGCTTAAACTGCAACGAAATGCTGTGTTGTGAGCTCTTTTTTCAGTCTTCACAATACTCTAAGGAATATTACATTAATTTCGATCTGAAGTGAAATAAGTGTTTTAAGTAATTGTGAGGTTCAGAAAATCAAGACAAAACTTATAACGCTCTGGGAAGTGAAGTAGAGGTCTCAGCCTCTTTGCAGTGAGGTGCGGGGGGCAGGTGCCACATTTGGATGTATGAGGAGGGAGGAAAACTACATTTTGTCTGAAAAATAAATGGAGTATGGCAATGGCCTTTGAGACAAGTACTCGCCTGGAAGCAGGATGTACAGGCGAGGCATTGTGGAGAGGGGAGTTTTGTGTTAGTGGTGCTCACACGCTCTCTGTGTTTCTGTTCCAGTCAGATGGGACCATCCTGGCTATCGCTTTGTTGATCCTCTTCCTTCTGCTGGCGTTGGTTCTTCTCTGGTGGTTCTGGCCTCTTTGCTGCACAGTGGTAAGTGACAGAAATCATTAGCACAAACCAGCAATTCAGTGTTGCCTGAATGAAAGAAATGAGTGGGAAGGAGGCAAAGTTTTCCAGTAAGAAAGACCATAGGACTGGTCATTGAACAAGACGCCGTTTCTTCCATTGCTGGCACTGTTTTGTGCTTCTATTTCATCTGCCTGACCTTTGGATTATACCCATGAAATAGCAGTGTTGCTAACATACAGACCTCGTTAGCAGCCTTTTAGTCTTATTTATTGGTCACAAAATGGGAATGGTCTACAGAAACATGCTGATTGTCATGCTGTTTTAGGAAGGAATGGCTTTTCTGGATTTTCTAACCCCTATGTCAGTGTCTCAGTGCTGCAGGGCTCCTGTAGAAGGGCAGGCATGCTGAACCCAAACTGGGGTCCTTGTTCTGCCTCAGGTACAAGGAAAAGACATTTCTAAGTGTGCAAATTTTTGCAAGATTTAACTTTTCCCTGGCTCACTATGTCTGAAAAGCACTTTGAAATATCCAAATGACAGTTTCAGTAGAAGTATGACTATGCTTCTCTGAGCATTAGCTTTCTTCCATGCTTTTTCACAAAATGTTCTGTGGAGGTAAAAAGCACAGTCAGAATTAATAGTTAAAAAAGGCAGGCAGAAATCAGAGGAAAACAGGGGAGAAGGAAGAGGTGAAGGGAGGCAAGAAGGAAATCGCAGGACTCGAGACCTGTTTTTCTCCCACATGTGACCCTGTCATTTGTCTGCAAGGACCTGTCATACCCCTGTACGTCTCTGCTGATTTTATCCTAGGGCTGCATTTTCCACTGAACACCAGTGCAAAGGCTGATTCTTGTGGAGCATGCAATACAGCAAAGCTCTGCTCTTGCTTTGGGTCTTGTTTGTGCTGCAATATAGAACAAGAATTAGAGAAATACAAATGTCAGCAGAATTGGAGTCTGGTTTTGGTGAATGGCTGCCTGCATTGTTTCAGATGCTGCTTTTAAGACTGCCCAAACTGGCTCCAGATTCTGAGTCACTATCGTTATTCCTGATTTTTAAATTACTTGCCCAGTGTTGTAAATTTGCACCATGTTGTACCCAACCTACAATCCGGTGCTGAGAGCTCTGGAGCCAGAAACTGAGAGAGCAGTCACATTTGAGGATGAGTCTTTGTGGTAAGATATATTTCTCTATCCAGAGCAAGGATGGAAACCTCGCAGGAGAAAATCTTCATTGTCTATTTCTGTTTCTGGCTAGAAATGCTAGGGGTAAAACACTTCTTTTCACAGTAGTTTGGCACCTCTGTGCTGACATGAAAACCAGAGGGGGGAAAAATATTTATTTGGACTTTTCAGAACAATAAAAAATATCAGTTCTAAAAATAGGGATTAGCAGTGTGGTAGGTTGCTCAGAGTTATTTGTCTAAACTAGATGGCGTGTTCCCAGAGAAGCTGGGCCAACTTCTTTGTTGGTGCATTTGCACAGCAGTCAATGGAAGTGTGCCCTTTACAGATGTTTACACTGGGATTTGGTGGAGAATTGAGGTGATAGAGAGGAAAAGCTCTAAGGGATGCTGCCATTTTAAGGTTCTGCTACAGGAGAAAGATGAAGCTGATAGGGGAAAAGGTACAAATAAAAGCAGCAGGACATGGAGTAAAGGGAACATGGAGTGATGCATGGAGAGGCTAGTATAGGACTGGTCCAGTGGCATGATATGAGGATAGTGGTCATATAACAGCATTCTTCAAGTGTGAGAAATACAGTCCAGACAAGCAAGGCCGGTGCAGCAAAGTCTCTTGCCCACATTATGCATTATAAGCTTAATATTTTCCAGATTTAAATTCTGTACTTAAAAAATTTGTTGTAGATAAACGCTTTTCCTCACCCTCTCTCCTCTTTTACCTCCCACATTCCCTCTTAGCAAGGTCTTCAAGTGAGGACTGTATCACTGATATTTTCCAAATGTAAGTCAAACACATCGTTCTACTTGCTGGAAAGATTTTAGTTCAAGAACCTGTGTGAAATCTCTTCCGTCTCTCCAGGATAGCAGTCCGGTATGTTTGGCAATAGATCAGCAGCTAAGATACCTCACTGTGGATTACTTACCCAAAGGTTCTGTAAAATTAAAGATAAATCCACAGAGGAGTACCCAGCCGGTTTGGCCTAGGGTAGGGAGAAAGAGAGCAGAGCAGTGCTTATTTACTAGTTTGGTAACGGCACATTAAGGAATGCAGTGTTGTCAGAAGCACGGAGTGAGCTAAGGGCAGAGGAACTGGCTTGCACAACAGACAAGAGAGGCAGGCAAGCAATAACCTCTAATAATCAAACCGCAGACCCAGAGACACTGCTGTGGATTCAAGCCCAGGGACATTTTGGATAACTGTGTATGTGTCCAGGGGAAAAAGAAAAAAACACAACAAACTTTTTTCTTACCAAGTATAAATTTATTTGAGTGGCAAGCACATTTCTAAACCTTGAAATTCCTCTTGGCATGCTTTTTAATTAAATAGGAATCATTATTATCCAGCAGTTCTTCAGGAAAGACACCAAGCCAGCTTCATCCCTGGAGTAAATGAACTGAAGTCAGTAGACTTACTCTAGAGATTTATCTGGAACTCAGTGTCTCCTTGGCATGCACCCATAAAGAAATGCCGATTCCAAATGTATCCAAGTTTATTGGTCTCAGATGTATTCTGGGATGAGTCTGGAATTTACCACTCAGTTTACAGTAGATGCAGTTGTTGCTTAGTGGATCAGAACAATAATAGGGTCTTTGCTGTGCCCGATACCAGCACAGGCAAAAATTCCCTTGTTATCTGGGAAGGTGGATATTACAAAAGCACAGGAGCTGGGTGCTAACCTTTCAAAAAGTTTCAAGGATGTTTATTCAACAACAACAGAAAACAAAGATAATTCTGTTAAGCTGATATCCCCAACATTGTACGCATTAGAAGAATGATGCAAATATAAAGACATCTGTAACGGGATGACCCCACTTTTCCTGAGCAGAGCATATCTGCAAAACAACAGATGCCAGATCCTGGCCGTGTTGATGTTAGTGGACCTTTTGCTGTTGTCTTCCCTTTCCTCTTCTTTCCTGAACACCACATAACCTGAAGGAGGCCGAGCGATCATAGTAGTAACTGTGTGTGCAAGAGACTAGGTGCCCAAGGGTGAGATTGTTCCGAGTAGGAGGCCAACATAAGGCTTAAGTTTAATATTGATATAAACCAAACAGATTTTAATGTAGATGTAAGCCAAATAGATAATAAGCCTCCAAGACTGTATTAAGGAGGATTTTGCAGGCACATTGTTAGATTGGCTTGGAAATGGAGCTGGCTAAAGTGTTTTGGATGTAGAGTGAAGGCATAATTAACAGAATAGTTGGAAGGCTTGTCTGTGCCCGGACAGTTTCTCTGTGCCAATATGCAGCACCACACTGAGCAAATGTCTCCCAGAGACACTTAAAATTAGCAGGCTGAGTGAGCTGTGTCTGGGCCACGCTTTGCACCTGAGCAGGTTCTGCATGAAAGATTAGCCCTGGTGTAGCTGAAGTGGTGGCTACAATCAGCCTGCCCCCAGCCTTGGTCTGAATCTTGGCTGGCGCACGCCAGGGGATACAATGCAGATGATATGAGTGGAAATACCTCTCTGGTGCGGCTGAGACTGAGACTCAGTGTTTCCCCACATGCCCATAGATCACATCTTACGGTTTTATGAGGTAAACATGAGTCTTTGCCTCACTTATGCATCCATGCAGTGTGGCCTGAGTGGGAAGGGCTTGAGAAGCTGGTCTGTGTTAATTGCCCGCTTAGAATATATACACCATCCTACTCAGTTTTATAATGCTGCTTTTTTTAAATAGAGGGGTGTGGCTGGCATAGAGATGCGGTGGTGGTATTTAAGCATCCAACACCAGTGTTAACTTTAAGCTGTTTTCTGGAATGAAGCGTGGAAGAACCCAGCAATTTGTTTGGCTCTCAGGCTGTATTGCAGCTGACCAGAAGTTTTGGAAACAAAAAGCTGGATGGAGAAAATGCAGAAAATATATATTAAAACCACATGAAAATCATGGCTAAACTGGAGGAAGAGGAGGGGAGGAAACACATAGACTCTGCAGCAACCCTGAAGAGTCACAAAATTACATGGTGCATGTTGGCTTGATGGAGATTACTTACAATTGTCCATGTATTCCAATTCCCACCTGTTTCCGCATGCATGAGGCACGGTTTTCCTGCAGTTATGATGATTTTGAGGGGAAAGGAGCACAGGATCATGAATTATCTGAAACATTATTGAGACAAACCAAGAGAAAGACACAAACATGCAGGCGGAAATTGCTTGTGGACCCTGCAGCCCTGCCTTAGGTTCAGATGTGAGCTATTGAGGCAAGCACTCTTGTAGTATAATGTGGTAGTTTCACTGAATTTATTGGGGGTTAATGTGGTGTGTAACACTCAAGCTCTGAATCCATGCACACTGCTACAAATAAGTGTCTTCATTTATAGCCCAGTCAACCCAAAACATTTGGAGGTAGTGCTGTTATTGTAAGTTTAAAGTAGCGTAAATAACAGAACCTGACTTTGCAATTGCTGTGCACAAAGGGCAGCAGGAGGAAAAAGGCAGTCTTGATTAATCATTTAGAGTACTCGCAGCACTTCACTGCTCCTCTCAGCCCCCTGTCAGTCAGATCAGAATGGTCTAGATATGGATGTAATGCTCTATAACTGGCTGTCTTTAAGCAGGCTAGCCTGGGTCCTGAGAACAGCACTGCAGAGGCATTTTGCCTGGGCTAATACCCTCAGCTCTACAGCAGCCTATGTAGAGAAGTGGGCTAGTAGAACAGTGTGTGTGGCAGGCGCTCAACTAAGGTGCTTTGGCATGCTACTGTGATATGTCATTACCAAAAAGTTAAAGCCAAATTCTCCAAAATGTCCATCAGTTCTGGAGTGTCCAAACTGAAAGATCTTCACAGAGTTCCCTTTTTGGAAAGTGCTAAGGGTTGCCCTCTGAAAGTTAGG